TTTATGGACGTCAGCATGTCCTCATAGTTCACCAAATTAGCCATTGACAAAATACATCATCGCATGTTTGTCAATACTTTATTCAGAAGGGACCTGCATACAGGTTATATCCCCACGAAAGAAAACGAGTGGATTGGGCGGTCACGTTTATATCATCGCAAGCAACGTCAACCTTTTCAGCAATTCAAACCATGATGGCGCCGAATTTTGAGCTTGAGGGTAGCCTGGAACGATTGTAGCGCACGACATGCAATGACTACTATGTTGAGGCAAAATGGTCAAACGTATCGTGGTTTACGATTAACTATTTTCTGCTCATAAAGGTCACAACCAGATGTTCTCGGCATTGATATCCGTTCCACCCACATTGTCGCTCATTCGTTCTCTTAGCCCAACGCGACTCTGGGTGGTCACAATCCAATACTTCTCGATCCAAACAATTTACATCCCTGACTTGTGCTTCTGTTTCGTAGAGCTAATCTCAGCAGTCAGCGCTCAGTATGCGGAGACAAGCAAGGAGATTGGTTGGATCTGTAATCATCAATATTTGTTTTGATGTGCTCTTGTTTGGTGTCCATTGGGCCAATAGTCACACTCACCGCTTCAGAATCGATTCAATTCTCGGCCTTGTCCAGACGATGCAGATTTCCAGTGACGATTGTTTGTCCGCTTACCAGTGTGATAAATTTGTAGTTTTTTTTTTTTGACGGCGCCTTCAATGATCCACATGCTCTTGCCTGATATGTGAAGGTTTACTCTCAATCTTTATTGCTAAGTTTTCTGCGGCCATTCATTTTCTACACTTAGTATCGCTATGATGTCTAAAAGATCACTTTTTCACTTGGATTTGATCCTAGCGAGACTTGTCAGCCTGCTTCCAAGCTCCAATTTGAGCACGGAGACTCAGGTCCATTTGAAATCAAGTATTGGCTTGTCATAAATATCAAGCACACGCACCAGTTTGAGCCTGTAATTAAACTCCCTTGCACCAAGTAGTTGTCTTTCAAGGCTTGGTCGCTTATAAAATACTAGTTTGATTTGGTGGTCATAATTATTGCCGGTTCCTCTCCCAGTTGGTTTTGTGAGTTTGAGACTTGAAGAAGTGGCTCATGATGGTATCGATAATAATTTCAGGTTGGTCAACAACGCATAGCTTCAGTACTTGATACGTCTTCATTTGTCCACCACCAGATCGCCTGCGCAAATATTTACTAGCATCAATTGGTTTGATCCGGATGACATGCGCAGTGCTTTCTAGACGGCAATAAATTCTCACGATGAAGTTGATCCAGCAACGTCCTGTGCTTTTCGCCGCACGACTTTTCTCATATGAGATTAGACTTGTTGCTTGGGTTTCATTTTGACGCCTCTCCTAATCGAACACTGATCGCATCAAGGTTGTTTGAAGTACAGCATGTTAGGATCGCTTGGCGAAACCTAACACTAACGCAGGTTATCGGTTCCACTCACAGCGATGTATTTGATACTGCTATCAAAGGGTTCTTCAGTCGACTTCGGTATCTTTGCTGCACTCAAGAATTGCACTAATGGCTTTCTTGAAGAATTCGTGGTATCGCCGTTAATATCGTTCGGCTTGAGTTGAGTCTTTTAACTATGATAAGCTGGTTAGAAATCGATCAAAGCATATTAAGTATAAATGTACCTTACCTTATCAGTATATGACATCAAAATCGAGTACTGCATCCAGGTATAATATAGTTCACACGCTTCAATAGCGTATTGAAGCAGCCCGATATTTGCCGCGCAGTCAATGTATTAAATACCGAAATGCACAGGATCAAGGCAGAGTAGTCCTTGCTACCAAGAATGAGTTCGTATAGTTGAAAGTCGAAGATCTGACAGCTTGCTCACGTTTGACCCTAGTACTGTCTTGAACCTACTGATACCGAATCAATCTGATGTAGCTGACAGAATTTCACGACGCGCTTGTGACGCACACGATTTAGACGTGGTTCTCAATATTTATCCGTCGCGTCTGAATTCTTTTTTTAAGAGTTTTTAAGTTCATAGTAACTGAACCAAGCCATCAATACGCAATTGTAAGGACATAAGGACAAAGGAGGTTAAGAATATTTGGTTTTGTTGGCTCCCTGACCTCGATTCCGCAGCTATATGAACCGACTTCGGACATACTAACCTCCCAGAATGTCGGCCTATATTGAAATCAGAGACATGCTTCAAATTATTGCTTTTCGCAGCCACAGCGGAAGTGCTGTGTTTCTCAAGTATATCTAAGAAGGTCCCACGAGAAATGGAATCTAAAAGGCTAGGGAATATGCCCTACAAAGGCATTGAAGAATCAAACGTCTTCTTGCTGTTTAAATAATCGTGAAATGCATAAATTGCGAGTATCTGAATCAGATGGCACAGATAGATATGATTCTGGTATTCTTCATCGAGATTGGTTTTGATTTCCTTATCTAAGGTCGCCTTCGCACTGGTGCCCCTGTTGCTTGTTCGGCTGTACTTTTTCGGGTTAGCTGAGCAATACGATCTCGACCTCTTGTAATGTCATTACTTTGATAAAGACGCCAAACAAATAAGGTTAGTAATCTCCTGAGCATAAAATAACACTCATGCCATTTGTACCATTTAAACACTCAGATAGGTAGCCTTGATGCTGTCGAGATAGCGTTTGCCGAGCAAATAACCTTTAAATGCTTCATGACCTTCTAAGAGCAAAAACGCTCCGTGCGTGATTTTACGGGCTTACGCAAAATTGCGCATCCTCGCTACTTGATTTTTCAATTCAAAAATTGACATTTCTTCTTTTTTATGATCGAATGCTCGTGAAAACATAAAACAGCTCAAACATTGTAAAAGCCAGCAAATTTTTTGGATTAGCGCATATCGCACATCATGTAGGTGAGTAATATATATATCAAAAATTTAGGTGGGTGTTCGTAGACACTGTCCTCGCGTTGTTGTGAGATTGCTGAGATTGTCAGATGTATGTGACAGAGCTTTACTGCGCCGAAGCACGCAGGATGTTATCGTTGTTGGTAAATGACTGTTTCTAATGCATTGAAATAAAATTTCAAATCAAGTTTTTGTGAATTCATACGGTTTTGAAACCCTGACATAAAGTGTATCTCTAGGTGAAAAATGCAAACCATTTGTGTTTTGTGGTATCGATTTCTAATGGGATGATTGTCTGCACATTCTCTCAGAAATATACGTTATAGATTTTGTAGGATACCAAATAGCAGCTGTGAGATTGGATAAAAACGATACACGTATTGGGTATCATCTAAATTAACATACTTCTGACAGACTCAAAAAGTCTACCCGTCAAATGGTAGAGAGCACTCTTGCCATTCAAACACTTAAATGCAAGAAACACTTTTTTATTGACCAGATGAGAGCCCGTAAGGGTTATCTTGACACTCTGAAAGCATTGTATTACTTGTACGAAAAGTCCACAGGCTTTATTCTTGCTTGCGAATGCATGATACTTCTGAGAAATTTCGCTTCGAACTTTTTAGATAAGTATCCAAAATTTTGTCATCAAGCATGAGGGTGCAAGAGAAACACGCCGATCAAAGGAAGGGCATGAGTGAAAGTGTATAGGTGTAGACAGTTAGCGCATGTTTGTGTCATAAGGTAATTTCAAGCTGCATTCTCCAATGTGATGACAAAATGAGTCAACGGATCGTCATCTCGACCGTTTGCAAGGGCACCAGATCAATTTATCCGAGTAAAGTAGATGTCAAATTAGAACTGAGACGACATTTATGCAGTAATAAGCCAGTACAATTGCATGCTGTTCGCAAACCGCTGGACATTGACAGTACGATGGATGACATCCAGTGCAGATGATGATCGAATTTCCGCTTGTCCGATTGTCAATCTGGATGCTCGCTTCGTGCGTACCCGCTGAGCCATGTTGCTGGCATGCTCTTTTTCCAAATCGGCTATATCACATACTGCATAGAAGCAGCTTGTGCTATACTGACAAGAAGGCTCGGAGTACTGTTCATGTTCCATATCAAAAGCTCTTTTTAGAAGCCAGCCATATGTCTTAATTTTTTAAGTATGAGTCAACAAAAGCTTTGCTTTAATTAAAAGCACAAATTAAGTCATTGCTTTCCGTCTTAATATTTATTGGACTATTGCCAGAAGTAAGAAGCTCAACGTGTAGTAGTGGTTGTAAATTTTATTATTGAGCTCCTTGTTTTGCTATAGAGTGCAATCTAAACAAAAGAAGCACTGGTACAGTATGCACACGTCAAGAAAATCGATTCGTGTAATACTATGAATCCCAGCTGAATGATGAGTTTCAGGTACTCACCAACACCAACGCCTAGGTTCTGTCTCCAATCGAGATATAACTCTCATATGCTGCTAATCATAGCTATAATGCTGCATATCCAAATTTGAGAAATTGAAGTTTACATAAATGCAAATCTTGCTCGAGACGAAAATTGAGTTCAAATTTCGCGAGAATTCTTTGAATGAAAGCACCACATTTTTAACCTGTTCGATTTTCTGCTCGTAACAAAGAGACACGCCACCGCATTCTAATATGACATTTATGCACAGTGTTCATCCAGGCACGTCACATTAGTGGTCGCCCTTTCAGCGTTACGACGAGATCACAACTGCCTCGCTCACATTACAAGCAAAACTTGTATAAAGTGGCAATGGCGACAGATGGCCTTTCTACACGTATCAGGCATCAAATCGCATTTTCTACATGCACATAAACTGCGAGATTTTTAAGTAGTGTGCGTGAACGGGTCAAGCAAGTACCAGCCGGTCGGTCCATTTCATGACTGTGAGCGCGCAGATGGTGGTGTGGCCTCAGATTTTCAGCCTGGTGCTAAGCCTTGAGATCGGAAATGGGTCCCGTCCAACCTTCGCAATTTCTCCAGCTCTGATTTTCACCCTGGACACAATCAAACTTACCCCCTCGACCACTTAATACGTGCCTCCTCTTTATCATGTTTCAGCTTTCAGACTCAATATTCCGCGATGTCATGCACCACCGCTCCCAGTTTCCATTTAATCGACCGGTTTTTGAACCGAAAAAGTATTCACTGGTCTCCTCTACACTAGACTCTGATACTTCCAGTGTGGCATCATCGACTCCTAGCGATGTATCGTCGGTCTCTTCGCCTGTGTTGCGCGAACGCATGAGCCTTAGTTTTATCACGAATCCGGACCCGGTGGTTGACTCGCTCCACACAGTAAGCCTCAAGACAAGCGTCATTTGCTCGAAGAAAAACTGCTACCGTACGGCCAACAGCCTCTTTGGCACATTTTGTGAGCTTCACAAGCCCAGTCGACTATGCAAAGTGCCTGAGTGCCGCAAGTGCGCCAAGACTGGCGGCTTTTGCATCTCGCACGGTGGTGGTCGTCGGTGTCGCACTAGTGGATGCATAAAGAGTGCCAAGGAAGGAGGATATTGCATCGCCCACGGAGGTGGAAAGCGGTGTTGTGAAGAGGGTTGCTCCAAGTCGGCGCTTGCCGGTGGTCTCTGCTCTGCTCATGGGGGCGGCAAACGTTGCAGTGCCTCAAATTGTTATAAAACAGCTCTCAAAGGTGGTCTGTGTATCGCGCATGGTGGTGGTCGAAGATGCGAAGTTGTGGAGTGCACCAAGAGCGCTGTTGGTGGCCGTCTGTGTGTTTCTCACGGCGGCGGTCGCCGCTGTCGAGAAGTTAATTGCAACAAGGGTGCTGTGCGTCGAGGCGTATGTATTCGTCACGGTGCACGGCAATAGTTATCACTTAGCTTAGTTAATAAATGTAGCATTAATGAATGTAAAGCACTCGATCAGATCGCCTCATCATGACACCATACGCTGCTCTGCTCAGTGAATATACAAGCGCACCAGAGCTTATCCAAACCGAATCCGGTTATCGGAAGTAACAGTTGGATATGCCAACATAGCGAGATAGAAATGCATATTCATGCATCTACTGGGAATATAAATCGACTTCTTACGGTAGATACAAGGTATATACATATTGGCAGTTCGTTGTCCTCATTATCACATTCAAAATGCACTGGAAAGGTATTGAAAGTATTTCGTCTAATGGATCTTCATATTTCTGTAGCATTGCATAGCCTGGTGCTAGTCAGCTACACTATGCAATAGAATCGCTACAATTTTGTGTTGATAACGACCGCGTTTACCAATATTTTTGTCTGATAGATAGCCATCGGCTGTAGGAGTTCTGCTACGCTTAATACACGTGAACCTACTGATTTTTTTCAGTATATAATCGAGGAAATCGTGAAGTAGTGTCTGAACAGATAAGTGACCCACTCGTCACAGCATGAGACCAGAAGTGTGGGCTGAACTGTGTCTGTCCCGCGACTGATCAGTGCTGACACATCAAGAACTCCGACAAAAATACAGTGCAAAGAATGGCCTCATAATTGAAGACATGGAGACCGCTTCGAGGCCGCACCGTGGTGCCAAGCGTACAAATGCTTCAACATTGAGAAGTCACTGATCGATTATGTCATGAATTATCTCGCTCGAGTTGCACCAGCTGACGCAGCGTCAGTGTACGGTACTAACAGGGTGGTACTTTACATGCCTTTTTATGCTGACATGTAACCCAAACCAATACGTTCGTCCACTAACATACGCTCAGCATTTAATCCAGTTCTGCCATTTTTGATAGGTCAAAATGCGGAAACAGGTTTCTGGGGAAATCTATCCCATATACTACTTTATATGCATTATCAAATAATAGCGTCTCATATATCTTGTATTCTGCCGTGTATAATAGCCATATTATTTTAAGATCCAAGAAATGACCTGCCGAGTTGTCATCTTGACAGTAACCTTAGAAGTCTGGGTGTACGACATGCAAATAGTCATAGCATTCGGACAGTCACAAAGATATCTCAATCTCAACTTTGAATTTTATTGATCTTTGGAAGATTCAAGGTCGTATTATTTGTGAGGGAATAGGAGAAGGAAAACAGCATCTTCATCTTTCTACCCTTTTTCGCAGGAATATGACGTTGTGGTGACGAGAGATCCACCACCCTGAGTAGGGGTTATGTCATGATTGTCGGGACCAAATATTGCATAGCAGTGGCCTGTACCAAGGGAGCAGCATGACGTCTTTTACGCTTTCTTCCGTGCGAAGGACGAAGCGTTTTAGTGATAGAATTTAAATGTACCCGCTTGATGCGGACTTTCTGTGTCAGAAAGGCTAACGTCAAGTGGCGAACTGTGCATGCTTATAGTAATCTAAATGCAGATACGATTCCAGTGCAAATGCCAACTTGTTAAATTGCTGCAGAACCGTGACGTCGGCTGCACTTTGTTCAGTCGTCTAGCCCGAGTTGATTTCACGGCCAATCCTCCAAATTAGCGCTTATTGCGTTCAGCCACTTCATTGTACGAACCCCGGGATCTGTGCCCATTCGCATCGGCGGGAAATATTTCAAAATTTTACCGGAGCTTACGACAATGTTCAGCTAGCTGATTTAGGCTGAACCTGGCAAGGAATCTAGCGTGCACTAGGTCTCGAGGCCACAAAATCGCTTTACCCGTGGATGGGGTGGACGTGACGACCACTACTTCGAGCGCAAGCATCATGTCACCACTTGCCTGATTCACGCCATACTTAGAAATTTTGAGGGTCCGAAGTCGTTTGCCGCACTGTTTCGAAGCTCTTACTTGCCTTTGGGTTTGAGCCTTCTCATCAAACCAAGGGCAAAACGAACGCGAGAAGTTCATTCCGCGAGCGCGGGGGATGACACATTCTATACTTACCCAGCTCTTAAGTAGTCACCCCTAGAAGTTTTGTCCGTGCTTGAGGCAGCAACATTCGGGGAAACACGTACTCAATCAGTTATGAGTGTTAGGTACGTAAGCTAGTGTCAGTGCCACTGAGAATTACGCTCATTTCGCGAACTGGATCAAAAAATGCGCCGCCTCGCCGGTCTAAAAAAAATTTAAACCAGCTAAAGCAAAGTGGACGTCTGTCTTGAGCGTTGCTTCACGCTCAAATTTTTAACATACAAAGCACGACGCGGACGAGGTGACATCCCATTCCCTCAAACTCCTGCTGTTTACAGACCCTTTGTCTCTATGATACAGCTGTAGCACCTATCCACCACAGTCCTAATCACTCCAAGAATGGTGATCTTTTACGAGTGAGAAGCGCGCTACAACGAGTAGTTGTGCCGCTTTTACTAGACATATGAGGGCCATTAGTGCACCAACCTTTTTGGTCCAATGGGTCTTGAGAAAGTAGCTTGACTTGGTCAGCAATTTGCGCAAGTATTGTGTAAATTATGCCGGCATAGCACAGCCCGTCAATGATCTCGTCAGCTGGTGCTGAGACGCGGCAAAAAGCGGACTATAAGGTTGTGATTGGGAGACTTATGCATATCTCGATATAACATTCAAAATCCTGATTTGCCATTCCGTATCGTCTGTGACTCTTCAACCTTTGCGATACCCTACGCTTTCCTCAAAGAAAAAGCTGTAAGGACAGGGGCGTGATTGTGTCACGCTAGCTTCAAGTGTTAGGAATGAGCTAACCTGTTCAGAACAAGGAGCTACCGGCTATGATGCATGTCCTCGTCAAGTTAAGAGTCACTTTGTACGTCGTTGCGCACAGCGACGTCGTCATCACATTTCCTAGATAGAATTGCGAGGTGAACATCATTTTCGAGTATAACTCCGGGTAAGGTATAAATGTGGCCATCTTAATGTGATTGTGGATGCGCTTTCGTGTCGCCCAGGCTATGAGCTCCGATGGTGACGTCGTCAATTGATGAGGTGATACGTGCGGCGAGCAGGCCAGACGCAACATGTGCTGTTGTGCTGAAGGCTTTAAGTAAGTAGGTTAAAAATTTGGATGCCGCTTGCTCAAGGCTCCCCGTATCACAATTGCATCGCTATTCGTTATTTCGAGATTTGTTGTGTTACAACACTGACCCTTTTGCCTCTCAACTTGTCGGGGGTACCCCATGGTGTAGTCTTTCAAGCATATAATACTGCCTGATGCACATGATACTCCTTTGGGTGGTCACCTCGGTGAATAAAAAATAAATTATTGAGCCAGGTGCTGGTGGTCCAACATATAGAAGCGGGTCAGTGTTATATGCTCGCGTGTGAGACTTGCAAACGGGTTAAACACTAGCCACAAGCGTCGGTGCCTTGACCAGTTAGCTGATTCTGTCAGAGACACAAGGATGAGTTAGATTTTTATTTTCCAAAAATCGGATTCAGAAATACCCGGTATTGTGTCTTTGTCGATGTCCAGACGAAAAACGGTTCATCTCGCTGCAGTCAGTGGTGCCGTTACCGGCCCGAATACAGCCACGCTATTTCTCCTCAAAGTTTCACCAAAATACTTGCCGTAACACTTACTTTGGATCGACATATCCGTGTCTTACAGTAAAGTTTTGATGAATGCTGCTCAGAGTGCTCGGCATTCGATTGAATGCGACCACCGCTGATCGTCCACAGACAGATAACAGACGAAATGTTTTATTTTTGTGAAGTGCCATACCCTCTGAAGTACTGATGCGGAGAGACAGTGGCTCTGAAAAGATTGTTCCCACTCCTAGAATATGCGTTGATTAACGTACAGCATCGCACCAAAGGCTTTTGTCCATCTTAAGAAAAAAATTCTGATCCCGTGTCTTTTTGATATTGTCTTGAAGTGGATTTGATAAAGAGAGGCTGATATTAAATTTCTTCTTGCAGATACCAGCCCGGCTATAGAAATTTGAGAATAAATATCTACGAAACTAAATGCCATGCAACGAGTGTGCGAAGCTACGTCTGAGTGTCAGAATGGGCAAAAGCAAAACAAAAGCCGTTACAAATGCGGTTACCAAAGGCAGACAAAACGGTCATGAATATGTCATGTGCGAAAACAATATATAGATCGCTATTAGCCTACTTACGAATGCAATGTCTTCAATTGGTTGAAAAGACTTATTTGCTTCCTGGCCGCATTAGAACACTAACTTTCTAAGACAAAAAGACGGTAAATGACACCTTTGTAGCTCGACGAGAGCGCATAAACATCATGTGCTCTTACGGGGGCTTTTAAAGACATGTTATTAGTCCGCTCCATAAGTCATTCCGATGTGAAGCCTTTTGAATACAAAGCAACGTCATAATTATCTCGTGTAGCTAAGCTACCTTCTGCTTTGTGGCATCAATACGGATCTTGACCACTTTGCATGCGTACGATGGCAAAGCTTGGAGAGTGCATCCGAAATTAATTCATGTCAGTTTCGGCCACACGCCAAGACTCTCACAGATAGTCAACGTGCCACCATAACCCAAAGATATGACAGGGGTGTTAGTCGTCATAGTGTTGTAATCCGCCCGCAGTTTTTGATGGCTCACTCCTGGGGGAATGATTGGAGCTTCATCTAGTGTAATAGATACCCGCATTTAAAAAAAGATGGAGTTTTGACGTCCCATGTTGGTGTGTCTGTTCTTACGCCGTGCCGCTAGTGATTTGTCTCACAGACTGTCCCATTGCGGATGGAGAAAGACAGGGCACCCAGCCCGGCGCGCTTCCCGCTAGAATGGGTTTGGTCTTGCTCCAAGTCCGGTTTTGACCAATAGCTGTTTGACATGCTCGTGAAGATGAGCAGAGCTGCTGAAAACGATAACCTCAACGTTCATATCGTGCTTTGTACTTTGCAAACTTAAACAACACACGAGGTTCCGGTCCTGCGTCGCTTCACTGGAGCTGGCTTTATAGCTACACGACGAGTAGG